GCTAACTGAGTGTCTATATTGCATGCGAAAGCGTGCGGGGAAAAGACGCTGGAACGGAGAAACCTTTTTAGCACTGTCCTCCTTGGCAATATGCTCGGTGATGTATTGGATAGCCTCAATTGCTTCGACCATCTGTTTTGGCATTTCGGCCACGAACTCTTCTGGCATATTCATTAGAGTTTGTGGCATTCTTCGTCGATGTCGTATTTTTGCATAATGAGGAAAGATGGGATCAGGAGTTGCTGGCGTACTCCGTTCGCACCTATCGTCAAGCAGTGCTTCGCGTTTTGGTTTCTTTTGACTTGGACTTGAGATGTGGTAAACCTTCAAAGATTCTTTCTGCACAAAACTTAATACTTTTGAGTAGTAAGTAGGGGTATTCCTTTCTGAGGTGTGGATCGAGTCAAAGAGCAAATTGCTGGATGGTGAAGCATAATTATTTACAACCGTTAAGCGCCACAACCTACGAGGGCAGGGAGGAGGGGGAGATCAAGTTGAACTGAAGCTGCTGGAAATTCACAGTTGCACCGTGATAAGTGGAACAAGGAAATTTTGAATCGCAGGCAGAATATTATCGGTAATCTTTAGAACCCCTTCCTTTTCGCCTTTACCTCTCGCACACAGCTTAACCACAAATTCCCTTTCTTTTTTATGCGTTTTTTGCACCTGTGCCATGCAGAAAACGTATATTAACGAGGGGTTGTCTGTGCGTCTGCGTGTACGTCTGCGTGTACGTTTTTCATCTTAAAACCTACAAAAACTACAGGGCTGAAAATTGCAACTTTGAGCCCCAATCCCCAAAATGGGCGCTCCTACCCGTGTGATACCCATGTACGGGCCTTTGAGAGCTTCCTACAGGTATGTACTTAACTCGGGACCAGAAAAGCTAGGAAGCTGAAGGGGATTTTAAGGGGATGTCCCTGTCCACATAAGTCTCAATGAGCTCAAACCTAGTCCTCGGGCATGCGTGGTACCCACGTACGGGCCGAAGAAAGTTTTTTCGGGGAAGTTGCTAACTCGGGAAACTGAGAAACTAGAGAATTGAAATTTTAGGGGGATGTTCTCCATCTAAGTGGGTATTAATGAGCTCAAATCCAGACACCGGATAAGCGTGGTACCTCGTACAGGTCCGGGAAACTTCTTTCGAGCAGCTGCTAGCTCGGAAGCCAAAAAAGTTAGAAAGCTAAAATTTTAAGGAAGTATTTTCTGATAGTTCTGACGGCTAGCCTTAATTTGTTTAGCTGGGAGCATTTGCCGGAAAACCCGTTGCCGGTAGCGACAAAAACTGCGGGGAACAATGCAAAAAAGGCATCTTCGCGCCAAATATTTTTCTTTTTTTTAAGGTAGGAATCGAACTTCCGGAACTGTAAAAGTAGACATGATAATCACATAACAACTGCCTTCTCAAAACCAAATTCCTCCTCTTCCCTAAATGGAACAAGGGTTATCCTTGTTCTATTTTAATAATGTATTTTAACACTTTTCGTCTTGATGGATTCGGAGTTAATGGTCTGATGCAATTAAGATTGTCCATCAAAGCTAACACTTGTAGTTGATTTGAGGGAAGTCAAAAAGCCTGATCTAAAATTTACAACAGCTTGGACACATTTAATTGCAACCTTTGGTGAGGACATTTCGACGAATTCTCCGGGCTCGATCCAGTACTCGTTATCTACGTAACTGCCACTGAAGCGCGTTTTGTTTTTTGCGTTTCTACGGCCATCCTTACCCCGGCACCATTGCATCCGACGTCTTTCGTCGTAGACTGGCCGTTCCATCATCAGCAGCAGCGGCAAGTATTTCAAAAAAACAGTTCTTACAAACGGGGGCATTTCATGTGTCGTGAAGCCTCGGAAATAGATATTGACAACAATTACAGTGACCTGCAAAAAGCGCTCAACCGATATTGAAAAGACGCTGTGAAGTCAAAAACTGCTTTCACGATTTGCCAAAAAAAACTACTGCCTTGCTTCATGTAACTTGTTTCAGATTGCACAGAAATTAGAATCGGCAGATGCACACAACTACTGGAAAATTTAAAAGCTCAATTTTTGTTTCAAGAAATGGCCAAGCCACTGGCATCTGAATAATTTGAAAAAAGTCTGCAACTAATTTTCTATCGAAGTAGCCCAGTGAAGTGATTTTAATTACAGATGGAATTGTACCTCGGGATGCATTTTGTTTTTTTTTTGCGCAAAAACGCATTTTGTTTTTTTTTTTTCTGCAGAAAGTGCAGATGCGATTAAAAACATCTAACCAGCTTACCGCATTCCGTTTACCTTTCTTCCTGAAATTTATCCAGAAATTCTCCGGATGGCATATTCAAACTAACGAAACGGTATTCACTCGCTCGGCTCATTTTCATGACTGGTTAAATTTTCAGTGTAACTTCACCTAATTTATCATTAGCTCCACTGTCCCTAGCTAAACTGATGACTTTAATAATTGCTAAAGTCAAACTTTGAAGCGGTTTTCATTGAAAAGTAAATTTTACAGGTAGAACTCGTTTATGCTTCCTTCAAAGTTTCCTTCGGCTCTTCAGTCTTTGTAAGACCTCAGAATAATATTTTACTGGCGAAAAAAGTTCAGTATTTTCTAACTTCGACATACTCAAACTAAAGTAATTTCATTTCTGCAAAGTAAGATGACATGCAAAATAAGTGGAACAAAAAATTTGGGATAAAATTAAAATGATAAGAGCGGCTAAAATGACTATTGGAAGCAACAATTTACAAAAAGAAGACTTAAAAGTAGGTTAAGGTATTGAGAAACGACACACCAAAATAGTGATAATATTGAGCACAAATATGAGAAGTAAATATTTGGCCATCAGTGGAATTGTTGCTGAAGTTGGCGGTAACATTTTGGAAACAAGAAGTAGGAAGACGACGAGAGCCAGCAGAATGCTAATTGCAAGTGTAATTTTTTCCGTCGCATCGGCAGGTAAATAAAATACCATAACACTCAAAAATGCCATCAGCACGGTTGGAATGATCAAGATTACTGTGTAGAACAGTGCTTTCCTGCAACTGCTTTATAG